GTTACTCCCTGGTTGCTGGTCCCCTAGGAAAGAGAAAGGAAAGAAACTACATAAATACAAGAGGAAGCAGATAAAGTGGCTGGCCAAGTTACTTCAGTGCATGTCAGTAGGATTGATACATGGGTATTAAAGGCAGAGAGTTTAGCATTCTGAGTATAAGATATGTGGTTATTTAACCAATATACTCTGTCCTATAGAAAGTAAAACAGCATCTTCACTGCATAGAAGATCCTGATTCAAAAATATATTCCCATCCCAACAACAAGCCCACCCACTTATCAATGACTAAGACTGACCTGATGGTAGGTTTTGACAATCTCAGAAATGCATGGAAGGAGAAACAGAGTTGTGCCAAGGAAGGTCTGGGGCCCACCCCATAGACAATAGATTTGGATTCATCATGAAATACTATTTACTTATTTATTTGTATCCCACATTTATTATTATTTACAAATAACTCAAAGTGGTGAATATATCCAACACATCTTCCTCCTCCTATTTTCTTCACATCAACAATGTAAGAAAATGAAGGCTGGCATCAAATCAAGAAATCAAAACAACCTCTTTTACACAGAGAGAGAGAGAGGGGGGGGGGAGAGAGAGAGGGAGAGAGAGAGGGAGAGAGAGGGAGGGAGAGAGAGAGAGAGGGAGAGAGAGGGAGGGAGGGAGAGAGGGAGAGAGAGAGAGGGGAGAGAGGGAGAGAGAGAGGGAGAGAGAGAGAGAGAGACGGAGAGAGGGAGAGAGAGGGAGAGAGGGAGAGGGAGGGAGAGAAATATTTTTCTTTTCCTTCAGCACCCAGCCTATTTTCATTATCTATGATAAAACAAATAAAAAAATAAAAACAACAAATAACAGGAATCACATAGACAGCTGCTTTTTACCTTGAGTTACCTGCCAAGACATATCAGATAGATAGGTAAAAGATTTGCTCAGTTTCCCTGTCCTAATGTCCTCCAGATGCTTTGAGCAATGATCCCCATAATTTTTCAATAAAATGGTCAAATGCTGAGGATCAGGGGCACTGCAGTAAAACATCTGAGGACAACTGGCTGTGGAAGGCTAAAGCCAGATGAAGTTCCAAGTGGAATTTTGGACAGTGTCATTCTAATTATGAGTGGCCTATTTGGCTTCTCAAATAGCCTCAAATGTAGTTTAGCCATATCTGACTCTTGAAAATAACTCACCAAAGAAGTCATTTCTGATGTCTGAACTGATATTCAACCACGTTTCTGCAATGGCAGATTCTATAGAAGAAAAGGGAGGCACAGTCAATTTCATAAAAGCTTAGGAGAACAAGTTAGCTGCAGTATGAGGGAAAGCCTAAAATGCCAAGTGAGCAAGAAAAGCCAAGGGATGCATTAACTGAGAGCCCTTTAAATAGAGGCCGACTGCGTTCACGCACAAAAAAGCTCTGAAAAAGAAGCAAAGCAGCAGAGCTGCTGATTTTTCTTTTTTTCCTCAAAGGCTACATATGGCAGATGGCCGGTGATCATTTGTAGGAAGCTTCTTGCACCGAAGGATAACATCTCTATTTTTCTTTTTAAGGAACATTTTGTTAGGAAGCAGATAACTTAAAATAAGTTATACGAACCAAACCCAGCTCTGGGACACCCCTTCCTCTCCTTTCTGGCTAAGATCTTTCCTCCTGAGAGGAGCTGGGAACTATGATGCCAAAGCCTAGCTGGCAATTACAGGAAGGTGAGCAAGAGAAGTTGTGGAGAGCTCCGAGCCGGGACGCCTAAGCCCCAGCTAAGCCGGCTCGATGCCGGAGCGGCTAGAGACAGAAAGCGGGCACTGGAAGGATGATGGGATCCATCCCAGAGGGGAAAAGACATCCAGGATTCAGAATGTCTCGCTCGATCGGCAAGGTGATGGCAGCCGAGGACAGGATCGGCCGGGTTCTTTTTCCCGGCGGCTCCCTTCCCTTCTCCGCGGCTCCCTCGTTCTCACCTAAACAGTGTCAGCCAGATCCTCAAACTCGCATGCGCAAACCCTGGCGGCCGCTGAAAAGGAAGTAGACGTTGTGGTTGTTAATAAACTTCCGGCATCGCATCGCGGTTACGGTACTAGCCTGCTTGTGAGAAGCTCAGCAGGCTCGCTGAGAGTTATTTTCGTTTTGATAATGGTCTGCGGAGACCCACTGTTAAAGCGACTGTCAGCGAAGCTAGCCGAGGGAGGGTCTACCGAGGTCTGACACGCCAGGGAGCAAACAGACCTATGGCGGGCAGGGAGAACGCAAGGATTAGAAAAGGCGTCTCTTTCCCGTCCTTTGCGAAAGAAACGTGCCGGGTAGGCGCGTCAGTCCCTTTAAGGGCGGTGAGAAAGGCGAGGACGCGGAAACACAAGGGGCGAGGCTACAAGGCTCAGGTTTCTCCAGGTGAAGCCCGAGCCTATTGCAGGTAGTACCTGGACCGGAAGCTGGAGACGGCGTTGCGCTGCCCAGCCTGGTTTACGAAAGGACTAGACTGCATTGTTGTTATATGTTCGGCAAGTTGAGCCAGAAGTGCAGAAAATGTATCCATTTGGATTTTCTGGACCCCTCCAGTCATATCCAGCTTTCTGGATACTTGGCCAGAACAGTGCGAGAAAATGGCTCTGGCCCGGTTGGGAAGAAAGTTTGGCTTGCAAAGCGGCTCCTAAGAACTGGCGGCTCCGGAAAGATCAGATCCGATTAAAGAAAAAGTGGGAAATGGCAGAGCCTTCTCTCTGGAAGGGACGTTGATTGGGAATCCATATACTTCCCGGGCAGAAGTCAGAGATACTGCGCAAAAGGAATCTTGGCATTCTTAAATCACTATAGTTACCAAGATGAGCTTGTTGCAAGATGGTGTTTGGTGGGAGAATGTAAACACAAGGGTTAGAGTTAAAGAAATGCCGTGTGAGT